GGGGGGGGACGCTTGAGCCGAGCGGTATGATTCCTGCTTCTGCCTCCCGAGGTCGCCGGTTCGAACCCGACGCGCCGATTTTTCTATCCGGATTTCCCCCCCATCCGGACACGAATGTCACTGAAGACGGTCACCATAATAAGGCCACGCTCGGCAAGTGCCACAAGGAACACAAGGAAGAAGCAAGATGAAAACGGCATATGCCGGAAATTCGTGCCTACCGGAAATTAGGTTGGAGGCCGGACGACCCTAGAAATAGGACCCTTATTCCGTAAAATTCGAAAGACTCATTTCAACGGTGGTATACAACGTACTGGCGAGAAAGTTATACATACGTACTAGTAATTGGTTAAACGGTCCCTTCACCGATTGCCCGAGTTCGTTGCAATTGGAATTTGATGGTCGATTGGTACACTGATACACTGATAGTAGATTCAGTATCAAGTTTTGCCAACTTGAACAGTGCACAACACAGGCTGTAGGCACGCTACGAGCACGATTCTTTGGTTTTTGGGCTCCCTGCGTCATGCGCTATGCATATCGAACAAAACATACGACTCTATAAAAATCTTCAAATATCGTCAACAAGCTGCCGAGCAGCACCGCCGAGCACATTTCATCCGGATAAGAATATCCGGATAAGCTGGCGCCGCTATTGCCGCTTGCGCCGTCCAGCAAATATTGTCAACTGGTTCGATTCTTGCGGCACGTCTGGTCACGACTCAGACGACTGCTGGTATTACAATTGTAGCACTAGCCAAACAGCCTACACAGGCAACACTTCGCTCGTTCCAAACGCAAGACAACGATCTCGTTGCTTCACAAACAGCAACAGCCAGCAGTCGATGGCGATGTACGCTGCGGTTGACCCCGAGATTGTGTGGGACACACGGGTCCGAATCGATCGGTCCCTCGTTGGTACTACTTGATTTCATCCCATATTAGTGGAGGCGCCGTCTTTCAACGCGGTGTTTGTCAATCAGAGCGACCGTCCATCTTCGCAGATCTGGTTCCTACGCGATGCCAGATTCTAGTGCCAGCTCTAGTGTCGCATCTGCTCTATCCAGGAAATGAGACCAAAATTGGCGGGAGTATTGTTCTGACAATCAACTATTGCATTTCAAACAAATATTAATTGTAGGAACAAAAATACAGACAATAATGATTTTGCAACGAATCGAATATCGACGTGTGTGTCGAGCTCCTTTTGCAGCCTTGCCAGCTCCGTCAGCGCCGCCGAACAGTTCAGCCCGTCCGGCAATGTAACCGGTTTATCTAGCCGGTTAGAATCAGGTCGGATGACGGTACGGTTGCCGCAGAGATGCGGTTGGTCGACAGGAGAACGCTCGGTCCCAACTGGACTGAAGCCGAATCGAGCGACACAAATACCAGAGCTTCGTCCTAGAGCGCCACCAGTCGTATTACACGCTCTTTCATTGCGGTCCCATTACCGTCTTCTTGACACGTGGCACTCTGCAGTGTACATCGCAGCGACTTCAACTTCGACGACCGGGCCTTTTGATTACTGACAGCAATTACTGCTCGTGGCCCCACGAAAGCCATCATGGTGTCGGTCCGTCCTCTGAACTAGTAATCGCAAGCTCCTTGCCTCGTTTGAAATAATGAAGTCAACTATATTTATATGCCGCAGGCGCGACCTCTATCTACGTCTTGTCTACGTCTTGGCTGCGTCTCTCAAGGGCTCAGACCCAAAATGCGCTCGAGTTCGCCCGACTTGTACATTTCAAGAAGCGTGTCGCTGCCACCGAGAAATTTGCCGCGGATAAAAATCTGAGGGATCGTCGGCCAGTTCCTAGCCAAATCCGACAATCAGAAATTATACTTTCGAGCGACTCGACGTACGAGAAATCCTTGATCGCTTGGCGGAGCTCGGCGCACTCGAGCAGATTCGCGACGCCAAAGTCGACGTCGAGTGTGCGAAAGACAGCGACGACTTGGCTCGAGAAGCCGGCCTCGGGCGCCTCCCGCGTGCCCTTGATGTACAGCATCACGGTGTGGGTGTCGATCTCGCGCTGGATTCGCTGGTATACCGACATGCGTCGAACGAGGTCAATGGCCAATTGAGGCGCAACGACTCCACCACAGCGATACGAGCTTTGGTTCTATATCACCCCGTGCGAATGGACGTGTCGATCAAGTTGGGACACTGTGGTCACCATCTCCGGCCACGCCAGAGGCCAGTGGGTGGTCCGAAATTCGCGCCGCTTCGAGCGCGATCTAACCTCGAGACGCCAAACTCGTTGGACACGAGTGGCTTAAACGAGCGCAACGAAGCGCACCTCCGGACGTACCCGGCGCGCTGCCGGCCACATGCATGCGCCATGGCGTCTGTATCGCCTCCCCTTCCTCGTGGAGGCAGGCCGTCAACTGGCGACAAGCGTTGCCAGCGCAATGGCCATGCTTGCTCTGCCACTTGCCAATCTACATGGTACGACTTCCTGCCTACTGTATACGCGCTATGCGATATACTGTACGTCGGCGAGCGACACCACAGCCACCACCGCGGCCGCCATCATGCACGGTACGTCAACCAAGCACGAGCTATCAAGGAACGTTCGAGTGCACGGGGCTCTTTGCTTACTAAATATCCCTGTCCAATGCATGGCGCTTCAGTGCAAGGACTAGGTGCCAGATACGCCCACGCAAAGGGACAAGGCTTGATCCACAAGACGACAAGATCGCTGCTGTTTACTGTCGTGTTGCAGCGCGCAATTCGGTGAGCCGAATCGAGTCGCGGTTCGCATACGTAAACAAGGCGGGAAAGTCGCACGGGAGCTCGGTGTAGTCGATCGCGTGCGCGTGGAGCTGGTCCAAGAAGGCCTGGAACGTCGCTGCGTTGCGGATCGTCGAGGCAAAGATGGCGGTCGTTCGAGGTCGCTTCAGAAAGGCCGCAAGGACGCGCATAAGGTCGGGAAACGAGCGGACGTCGTAGACGCAGTCGCCGGCGATGAGCACATCAAACGCCATCTCGCAGTCGTCCCACGTCCAGTTGGTCCAGTCGAGCGCCGCGGTGGTCACCGGGCACGGCGCGAGCATGCCTCGGAAGGCGTTGAGCTCGACGTTGTACCGTAGGTTTTGGAGAACGACGGGCGCGTAGTCGGTCACGAGTACGTGCCCCGGCGGCTGCGCGGCGTTGGCCGCGAGCACGAGGCCGGTAAAGCCGGCGCCGGCGCCGAGCTCGATCACGCGCTTGTTGGCAAACGCTGTGGGGTGCGCGAGGCCATACTCGGCCAAGTAAAAGCCCGCTTCCCAAAGCTTCATGCCAACTTCATTGTGGGCGGTGGCAACGCGGCATGTAATGACATCGTGACGCGAGGCGTTGGGTTGACGCAGCCGGTACGAGACGTGGTGCAATTCGTCGAGGCTGTTGAAGCACTTGTTGTTGGAGATGCGCGCCATGAGCTCGGCCATGAGCTCGTCGGAAATGTCGCCGCCGGCCATTTCCGCATCTACATCAGTGGTAAAGATGGCACTGGACCATAGAGCGTACCGTGCACATACATCTTGATGATGCGGTACGTGTACGCTTGCTTGGGCGCAAAGTCATCGCAGATCGGGTCGCGGAAGATCTCGGCCACGACCGCGTCCTGCCAAACACAGACAATCAGTACTGTTGGCGAAGAAAAATGATGGTCTTTTTGGAAAATGATGTTCGTACTTGAAACTCGATCGAGAGGTACTCGTGGGAGGCGCGGAGCGCGGCCATAAACACCTCGACCGGCTCCATTTCCCGGTAGAGGTCCAGGAGATGCTCCATGGTCGTGCGCTCCCGTGTCAAAATGGCTGAACCACGAACTTAGCACGTTGAAAATCGAACTTAACGCGGATGGCTAGCTGCACGCCTTTTGAGGGTCCCAAGCACGGTTGATGGCAACAAAGAGATAGGTTGTCGCGCCAGCGATAGGCACGACGCGTTTTCTTCGATAGATTTCGGTGACGACTTGCTTTGCCGCGCACGGCAGATCGCGCGACGCTTCCACGCTCGCGGTTGCAACGGGTGCGTTGCGTGGGTTTAGACCAATCCGACGCCCCTCTGTTCTTTTATTCTGCATACGGACAGCAGCTAAACGCACGCCATTTCGAGCGCGGGGGAGATTCGATGCAGGCGCACGAAGCGAAGGTTACCGAGATGGCTTGCGTCATGCGCTGACGTAGGATCGCCGTGTTTCGATTGCCGTGCCGATAGGCATCGCATGCGGCGCAGACAGGTCCGTCATGGGCCTTGATCCGCCTGGGAGTACCCAAAAGTTGCGTGCATCTCGTCAAATGCGTTCCAAAATGACAGGTCCCAGTTAGACGTTCCTGTGGATTGGCCAATTCATGTATCGTCTGCGCCAATCCAATGCGGCGGATCGCGAAAAGGACGTGATTTTAGCCAATCAGCTGCGCGGATTCCTCCCCACCACAGCTCGTGGGCGTCACTTTAGATTTTTCTTCGTCCCAACTCCACCATGGTTGCCGCCAAGTTCACCGTCGTCAAGACCGCCAAGTACTCCGTCCTTCACCCGACCTCGGGCTGCAAGCCCATGAAGGCCGTCGCCGTCGCCGCCAAGGCTGCCCCCAAGGCCGCTGCCCCCAAGGCCGCCACGCCCAAGGCTGCCCCCAAGGTGTCGACGCCCAAGGCCAAGAAGCCCGCCGATGACGATGATGATGATGACATGTTCGGCGACGACGACGAGGAGGAGGATGAGGCCGCCAAGGCCGCCGCCAAGAAGCGCGCCGACGCCGCCAAGGCCTCGAAGAAGGAGAAGGCCAAGCCGATTGAGCGCTCGCAGGTCGTGATTGAAGTCAAGCCCTGGGAAGCCGAGACGGACCTTGAGGCGCTCGCTCTCAAGATCAAGGCCCTTGAAGTCAACGGCCTCTCGTGGGGTGAGGGCCACAAGCTCGTCCCGGTTGCCTTCGGCATCAAGAAGCTCCTCGTCCAGTGCATCATCATTGATGACCTTGTCTTGTTGGACGACATCACGGAAGCCATCGAGCAGTTCGAGGACGATGTCCAGTCGGTCGATGTCGCCTCGATGAACAAGATGTAAATACGTAATTCATTATACCACTATGAGTACATCGTCCATTAACGCGGCAGCGACCGCCCACATTATATTGCTAGGATGCTACATCTAGGACTACGACACTTAGAGTCCGCGCTCGACACGGAACGGCGGCGCCGATCCCTTGGGACTTGTCACCGCCGTGTAGTCGCCGTCGACCGCCGCAGGCGAGCGAGGAGGGCTCGCGGGCGCTGGCGTCTCGTGCACCGGCGCAGTGTACTGGAACTGGATGACGCCAAAGCCAATCCAGGCGACGAGCGTTGCGCCAAAGTACGCCCACCACGCGCCCGGCATGGCGTAGCTCCCGCCGGCCTTGAGGGCATCGAGGAACGCCACGATGCTCGTCGGCGACGGGTAGCTCCCAATGAGGTTGCCGACGCCAAGTACGAAAAAGTATCCACCGAGAAAGGCTGTGCAGAGCACGACAACGAGGCGCTCCTGCAAGTAGACAACGAGCCCGATGGCGACGCCGCCGATGGCCATCGCAATGACGATCGGCACTTCGGGCTGCGCCGGGTACAGCCGCATGAGAAAGAGTGCGCCGACGAACGCACCGAGACCGACGCCCGCGAGGACGCCGAGGACGGCGACGCCAAAGCGGAAGAAGAAGAGCGCGGCGACCGCGAGGATGACGGCGGCGAGAACGCCAATGCCTAGCGCGGCCGGAAACACGTACGTCTCGTGCTCGAACGCCACGTACGCCGCATTGAAGCCAAGGACGAGCCCGATGGCAAAACCCGAGAGGAAGAACGCGAGCTTGACAAAGCGGTACCCGAGGAGACCGAGCGTGAGACCCACGGCCGTCGCGACGCCGTAGACCACTGCCGGGGCGACCACCGCAATCAAGTGGGGACTCGCGGTGCTCGCAGACGAGGACGCGAGCAGCGTCGCGTACGGCGGCGTGTAGGGCGCAAAGAGGCCCAAGAGAAAGACCGAGAAGGCAATGCACATGGCGACACCGAGCGTCACGTTGACAAGCCGGCGCGTCCGTGGGCGTAGGAGCGGAAGCGCGGGCCCGAGCACGGGTTTGCGCATCGAGGCCGGGCCGAGCAGCGGCTCGTTTGGGTGCGATGCCACTACGTACATCGTAGCTGCGAAACGGCGCACTGCGATCCTGTCTCGGCTGGTGCAGAAACGCCAAATCCAGACGGCCTTTCCAAGGCGTATCAGAGCAACCGTACTCTGTTCAATGCTGCGGTCTCTGGCGAGGGATAGAAGAATGCGCGCTTGTGTACGTCATCGAGTAGAGCGTAATTAGGCCCAAGAGAGCTTGCTACAAGTAGTACTTGTGTCAAAGGTGCCGGCTGCCATGAAGTGGTCGTGTTTGACTTGTATTTTGTATGCACATACAAAATATGCATTGTTGGATCTTTCCTTGTGACTCCAGCTGTTCCATCAGACATGCAAGGGAGCTACCGGAGGGCATTTCATTGACGCAGGTGACAGTCTATGAGGGGCACGTATGGCGCAAGGTACGAGTGTGGTTGCGCAAGGAGCGATCGACTATCTCAGACATAATACGTCCGCGAGTTTGTGTCATCATCGTTATATAGGTTGTTATCGTAGTCGCATTCTCTATTGGGCACATATTGCACATATCTACTTGGTACGCACGCGCTTCCACTTGTAGACGGCAGGACCACCGTCGACGCCGTCGGCGATCTTCATCTTCTTGCCCTTGGCTTGGACCTTGCGCTCGAGCTCGAGCACCTGGCGCATTGTGTTGATCTTGGACGCGCGCTCGAGGCGGTCGCTCATCTCTTGGTACATCTTGTTGGACTTTTTCACCGCCTTGGCACTCGGGATCGCCAGCTTTTGGAGGTCGGCCTTTCGCAAGCGGTTGGACGCCCGGTGCACGAGTTCGGGCACCGTATCAAAGTGGTCAGCGACATCGAACGTCTTGAGGGACGCGTCGTCGTCGACAAACACCTTGTGCTTGTTTGGCTTCTCGACGTCGATAAAGTGCGCCGAGGCGCTGAGCTTCATGGCCTTGGACGTGTCGACTGCACGCTTCATGTGCATGTACGCTAGATCCTGCGTCTTCATGACCTTGAGCACGTCGGCCGTGAGGATCCCACGGTGGTTGTTGGTCGAGACGTGCTTGCCGTCGACGGTCGACGACGTGTTCATCTTGAAGTAAAACTCATCCGGGTTGCGCAGCGCGGCCTTGAGCTGCATCGTCTTGAGGCGGCTCTCCTTCGAGTGGAAGTCGCGCGCACGCTGCACATAGTCCTTGTGCTTCTCGAGGAGGCCGAGGCCGAGCTTCTTGCGCTCGAGCGGCTGCCCACGCTCCTTGTGCTCGCGGCGCTTGACGGCGTTGCGCAGCGACGACATGCTGGTTGTATTCGCAAAATGATCCCGAGCCAACCATTGGCGAGCCGGTCGGTCTCGAATTCGGATATGTCCTGTTTTCATGCCTCTCGCTCTTGCTTTTACTATGCATAATACCGTCTGGTTGTCCTTAAAACAGGATAACGCCTGGCATTAGGACTCCATCGCATCGGATATACAGACAATATTGGCTAATTGCACGCCACTTTTGATACAGGCCGCGTGTGATGTGCCATGCCACCCTCGCCCAAGCAAGCGCTTTGGAACGAACACAGACACTATGGAGTCCATCCACGCCGTTTAGGAGCATTCTGTCATGGCGTACATAAAGCCTCTGTCGTCGCCACTATAGAGAAAAACCCGATTAGGGCTTCGTAAGGTGCGTGCAATTAGCTGCTCGAACGACTTGGTGCAGTGCATTTTTATTCGCAGCATGATGTTGCTTGGACGACGCCTGACGCGGCCCTCCCTTGCGCTCGTTGGCGCCAAGCGCGGTGTCGCCGCCTTCTCGAGCGCGCCGATCCAAGCTCCACCCGGCGTCGATGTGCAGGCGCTCACGGGTACGACCCTCATCGTAGCATCCTCAACTCATGGCGATCCAGAGGCCATGGCCGGGCCTGTTGTCGAGCCCATGTGGGCCGTCCAGCTCGCGCAGAACGTCATCGAGACCGTGCACACGACGACCGGTCTCCCATGGTGGGCGACGTTTGCGGTAACTACCACTCGGAACAGACGACGCTGCAACGTGATCTGCTTAGTGCACTGCGGTCGTCGTGCGTGGGACGCTCTTCCCGTTGCTCGTGTTCCAGATTAAGTCGATGGAGCGGTACGCTCTCATCTTGGCCTTGCTACTTACATTAATGGTGTCCAGCATGGCGCAAGGCACGCGCGACCTCCAAAGCGTGTGGAAGACCTATCTCTACGCCCGCGTCTTCTTGGTAGGACATGCATGTACCCGAGGCATGGCCTCACTTGGACGCATGATGTAGCCGCCTGGCATTCCATCGATGCAAGTAGATGCGGTCAAGCAGCTGCACAAGGGCGCCAAGGTACGACGCTGGATGATGATGGAGTGGCTCGACCGATGCGCGTAGCTGGTGTGGGAGAAGCACGAGACGCACCCGGTCGCCTGCGTCGCCGCACCGCTTGTGCAGATCCCGTCGTTCTTCCTCATGGCGTACAGCTGCCGCGACTTGATTCGGTCGGGGTCTGTCGCGGGCTTGGACACCGGCGGCTTGGGCATGTACACCAACCTCTTGGAGGCCGACCCGACGTTTCTCTTGCCGGCGCTCGCTGTCGGGTCGACGTATCTCAATTTTGAGGTACCCTTTTTGCTTTTTGAGATTCACACCATGCAATCGACGTAGCTCATGGGCCACTCGAAGATCAAGGCGTTCGACTGGCTCAAGTCCAAGATTCAGTACATTCCACTGCTTTCATTTCCGTTCATTTGCCAGTTGCCGCAGGTTCAATTTGCCCCAAAAAATATGGACAATATTGACCACTCTATATAGGGCGTCTTCTTCTACTGGCTCGCGTCATCTTGGTTTTCACTAGCCCAGTCCCGTCTCCTCAAGGTCCCCGCGCTTCGTGCGACGCTCGGACTCAAGGAGATCCCGTCGGCGGCCGCGACGCTCTCCAAGACGCTGCAAGATGCTGCGACCAAGGCGCCCAAGTAGTCGATGTAATTTGAAGCATCACCTTGGCTTCACGCCATTCGAGTCTCTTCTTTGTTCTATCCTACAGCCTAGATCCGTCACTCCATAGACAATGAGTGTATAAAGTTAGTAGATTAGTAGTTTAGTGTAGACAGAAAGCAAGGAACGATACGACGAGAAATGGAGTAGAAATTGCGCTCACGCTTCGGCGACGGGCGGGCTCGGCCTTGCCCAGTGGGTCACCTCGGGGTGGAAGACCGCCACGTCTTCCAGTAGCAGGTCCACAAGCGCGTCTTTCGTGAGCTTTTCATCGGGAATGTCAAACTCAAAGTCAAAGGGCGGGGACGCGTGAATGTCGGCGGGGTCGTAGAAGGCTTGCAGATACGGGTGCTGCAGCGCGTCGAGCACCGAGATGCGCTTCTCGGGGTTGAAGACCAGCATTTGCTTGAGGAGGTCGACCGCCTATTTGACCACAATTTTTGAGAAAAAATCGAGAAAACTACGAAAAATTGCCAACAACCTCGGGGTTGGCACTCGGGAATGCCTCGTCGAGCTTGGTCGCCTTGTAGATTGGTAGTTTGGTCAAAAACCGAAGCGCCTTGGCGTTCTTGACAAACTCGATTTCTTCTTGCTTGGGCGTGCCCATAAACTTGATGATGAGCTTGAGCTGGTGGATGTAGTCGTTGCCCGGAAAGAGCGGCTCGCGCTGCATCATTTCCGCCAAGATGCACCCGACGGCCCTGCCAAATGTCACGTTGGCGCATGTCGGAGTATGGCTCGAAGGACGTACCACATGTCGACCGACTCGGTGTAGTTGAGGCAGTTGAGCATGATCTCGGGCGCGCGGTACCAGCGTGTGACCACATATTCCGTGAGCTCGGCGTTTTCGGGAAATCCGCCACGGGCCAAGCCAAAATCACAAATCTACCACCATAACAACGACGTTATAACAGACAAAGATGAGGCGCGTATGCACACCTTGAGGTCGCAGTTGGAGTTGAGGAGGATGTTGGACGGCTTCATGTCGCGATGAATGACACCTACAAACCACATGTCAGAAATCACAACGCCAGATCTGATTGCCAGCGCAGATCTGCAAAACGACACCAGACCGTACCCGCCGAGTGGATGTGGTGCAGCGCGCAGAGGATCTGGTACAAAAAGTACTTGATGTGGTCGTCCGACATGGGCTGCATCGAGTAAATCACTTGGTGCAAGTCGGTCTCCATGAGCTCGGCAATGATGTACATGTCCTCAAACGCTTCCCGCGACGGCGGCGCGGGTACGTCGAGCAGCTTGGTGATGTTCTTGTGCGCGAAATGCCCGAGCAGCCGCGTCTCGCGCAGAATGCGCTTGGCGTCGACGAGGTCGTCAAAGATGCTCGCAATCTTCTTGATCGCGACGCTGCTGCCATCCTCATGGTTCTTGGCGGCAATCACCGCGCCGTACGCGCCGGTGCCAATGGGCTTGAGGAGCGAGTACTTGAGGTCCAGCGTGAAGAGCTGGCCGCTGGCGCTGAACGAGTGGACGTTTCCGCGGCTAAGGTACCCGTTCCGCGTGAGCCCCGGTGCGACGCGGGCGACTACACATTGGGATCGCGTTCATACCATGCAATAGAGGGAGATGGAGACGGTGGACTGTACCGTTGCCCTTGGGCTTGAAGACACGGTCGTGCAAGACGGCCGGTGCGGGCGGCGATGTAATGGTCCGAACGTCTTCGACCGCCTCGGGGCTTTGCATCTCGGGCGTGTAGCCGTCGGTATCGTTGTCGCCATTGTTGTTGTTGTCGTCGTCGTTGTCGCTTTGGTTGGTCTCGTTGGCATCGCTGCTGTCGTCGTACGACTCGAGCTCGTGGTCTTTGGCCGCGCTGCTCGATCGCACCTTGTGGTCGCTGCAGCGCGGATCGTTGTTGTTGTCGTTGTTGCCGCTGGACAATCGGTCGTCAAGGAGGTCGGCCTCGAGCGCATCCAACGTCACGTCACCATGTGGTAAGGGTGCCTGCAACGACGACGCCGGGGGTGGGAGCGTGGCGCTGCGGATGACCACGGGGGTGCGCTCTTCGGTCGGCAGCGCATGCGTCGCGACGTCGCGGCCGGCGCTCTGGAGAGACGACGACGGCGTGCGCCCGACCTCAAAGATGGCCGTCTCGAGCGCGCCCAGCCATTGCTCGAGCGCGCGGGCTTCGCGCGTCGCAAGGCGCAGCGGGTGGTTGTAGTGCGGGCGCAGTAGCTCCATGACGTACGGGCAGCGGGACTCGGCGCAATCGCTAATGTCGCGTACAATGTCGTCTTTCGAGAGTAGCGTTTCGCTGAGGAGCGTCAAGTCGGTCGCACTCTTGTATTGACAGAGCGACCATGTGTCGGAGCGCAGGATAAAGTACGTGGGCTAGAGCCACGCGCCATCATGAGCCATGTCCAGAGAACACCATCGTCTGTACCTTGGTCGGGAAGTACTTGCTGTGCGAGAGCTTGGTCAAAGCCCCTTCCATGAGCACGACCTCGTCCGAGAAGTGCATGTTGGCCGGCTCGTCCTTCTTGAAGAGCCGCGCCAGCGTCGTCTTGTGGCGCGTCGCAAACATGCGCCGGCCACCGCTGTCCGAGATGCTGCTGCCATGGCTCGGGCGTCGCATGCTCCTGCTGTAGTCGTTACGATACTAGTACAGTCGGAGCCGACCAGTCGAGCGTCTTGGTTTCAGTATGCGCCCGGTATCTTGCGAGATCTTTCCACCTTTTTGGCCAATCGCATCGCGCTTGGCGGCAATTCGCTTATTCAGTGCCGAATCTCCCCATAAAATCGGGACAAACCTCCGACGTGGCACGGCTGCGATCACCAGGGCGACGAAAGCAGCCCGCACATCGCACTCTTGCATATACAAGGGTGGTCTTGGGCTGGTCTTGGGCGATATACCCTTTTCCAAGACGTGCCTACTACTACGGCTGCTCCTTGGCTGCTCGTTGCCGTTCAGGGCGACTTTCAGAACAAATGCAAGCCTAACGACACCACCAACGAGACCAACGAGAGCACGATGCATCACAAACGGAGCGTCCCACGCTGGAGGCTACATGTATGCGCGCTGCAAAAATGGGGACTGCGCATGGTCCATGCACGTGAGCGCGCGTTTTTGCCAGCAACCGCCTTCAACGTGCCACCAAAAGGGACAAACCGGTTTTGCCCAACGGGAGCATACTGCCTTTGCGAACTCGTCCTCGGCGTCGACCAATCGCAATCGCGCAGGCTTGTTATTCGATTTTTCACATCCGAACGTCAGCAGGTGGCGTTGTTGGGATGTGCTCGTGGTTCTCCTATCAACTAGTGCGTCGACTAATCTACTACTCTGCATCAGTTGACGCGATGCGCTCGCTCTCCAGCACCACCGACCCGCACTCGACTGGTGCATGAGGACGCGCTATCTCTTTGCGTGTCAACGGCGAGAAGCACGACAGCGTGGGACGGTTTTGCTGCGGCGAGAAGACGCGTGGCGATCGTGGCTACTGCAACCCACATGTTTTTGGCAGTTGCGACCCTGGTTCTCATGGTCGAACCACCTTGGCGAGCGACCATTCGAGGTGTAGGGACGCTCTCGTTGCAGGTTGTATTCATACAGGCGGCGCCACGTCGGAGCTACGCGCTGTTGTGGTGGCTTGCAATGGCGCCAGCAACGCCCGTGGACGTTACTGCTTGAAGTTGACCCAGGTGCAGGAGACGCGCCACATGGCGATCTTCCCTTTTTCCTACTGGCCGGCGGCCGCGATCGAGGCCGATGACACGCGTCTGCCATTGTGCATTTCGTGTGACTTGGCAGCGACAACCCTCGTCTTGCACGTGTACTAGCATTGGGACAGTGGCCTGTCGTGGTGAGGATGGAGGTTGATCGAGTTCAACACGATACAACATTGAGCTCGGTGCTGGCCATCGAAGCACGAGTAGCCTTGGTTCGCAGCAGCCTGGACGAGTAGCCAACATAGAGCATTACGCAACGGCCTGTGGACACTGGGTCGACAGAGCCGTCCAGTGCTAAGTACTCAGACAAGAGTGCATAAGCTCAATTGAGTTTATGTACGCTTGGTACAGAGGAGGCACCCGCACGACACGCGACCCACCAACGACCAACTCGCGGCGTGGCTCGGGTCGTAGCGATAGAATACCGGGCATGTGTGGCCCACAGGGCTTTTATATTCTGTTTGGAAACAGCGTCTCAAAGGCAAACAGTGTGTCGGGAGCGTCAGCACAGATAGTTCTCAGAGTCTCGAGGCTCAAATGTCGACTTCGTACTACCTATGTCGATGGAGCGCACCGGTATCCCTTCTCGTGGACGTCATCTTGCACGTGATGGCATCCCTGCGCCGCTGCGATACAGAATAATGCCCCGAAACAGCGTTCAGAGAGATCGCCATACTGTCGACGCGCCACGTGTTGCCAATCAGATCGCAGGCGCCATGATCCCCATTTTGCAGCCAGCTTTGATGGACTAGCAGCCTGGCGGACCGCCAATCTCGGTCGGAATACCATGCCTAACGTTACGACTATATATTACCACAGCCCATGAGGACGGTACAGAATTGTCCAGTGTTGTAGTGTGAATTTACATGTTTTTACGTGTATTTTCTTGCTTTTTCGGCAATAGATTGCAATTGCATTGTCGAGGATGGAGTTCCTCGTGCCAGCGTTCCAGAGCCTCTGTGCGTCGGGCGCGCTGCAGCGTCAAGCACCCGACGAGACGTGCTTGGAGCGGCAGATCCGTCGCCTGCGTCTGCGCCTCGACACGGACAACGTGTTGCCGCTTGACGTCGTACTGGAAAGTGCGAACACACGCCTCGAAGAACTCGAGACCGAGCTGCGCAAGCGCGCCACGCCGATCGAGTGGATCGTCACAGCCTACCGCCCGGCGACGACCGACACGCGCTCGAGTACGCTTGAGCCACGCACGGAGGCGGCGCTGCGTCAACCGACTGGATCCGACGGGCCTGTCCGGTACCTAGATGGCGACGCCGACGACGCCGTGACGTTTCGCGTCACGGTTCCTGCAGAGCCACCGCAGTTTGGCCCACCGCCCGAGCGTGTACCCATGAAGTGGGCGACGGCGGTGGCCACGTCCACGCCGAGCCCGCCGCTGTCGTTGAAGCCGAAAGCACCGGTGCAGGCCGCGCCGGCAGCGACGCGCGTGGCGCCCCGGAAGATGCACGTCGCGGCTGCTCCGACAGCGCCAAAGAGCGTCAAGTCCCGCAGCCTCGTCGCCAAGAAGGCCGCCAGCATCGGCCGGCGTCGGGCTGACCTCTGAAACCACACTGGTTTGACCTCTCAGAACCTATTATATGGTAGATCTGATAAGATCCCGTCGGAGGATAATGATGGCCACATCGAGCCTTGTACTTTGAACAGCACAGCCGTACCTCGCATGCTGGCGCTACGATGCATGCATGGCAAGAAAGCTCATGTGTACTTGAGCGTCGAGACCCAGCCGTGTCCGCCTTCGTTGCGGCATCCCCGCCTGTCTACGGTCCACGCAGTAGCAACCAATCCATACTAATGCCTCGGGTACTGCAACGACTTGTCTCTACGGTCATAGCATCCGCATTTACCTGTGCGCTCGCATGGGGTCGCGTGACGAGGCGGCTGCATCGTCGCCCGCGCATCGACCAAGCAGCGATCGGACGTGGCAGCCGGACAAATGAGCTCGGATTTTAACCAATCAGCGCCCGGATGGCCAATTGGGCCGTTCAGCCAATGGCATCGCGTGGGGGTTGCAGCCAACCACTCAGCAACAGCTTGCGCAGCGGCGACCGACGATGGACGCGTTCCAGAGCCTCCAGCAAGGCGCTTCGTTCGACACGAAGCGCTTCAAGTCGGACATCAACCTCTTCAAGAGTACGCCCTCCTCGTGCTACGTCGCTTCACTTCTGATGATGGTAATAGATGCCAAGAAGAGCGGCGCGATCGGCCTCGGCGTCGCCAACACCAACATTGGCGAGCTCGACTTCTTTGGCTGCAACACGTACGTCGGCCTTCACGCTACAGCATGTCATTCATAGGCAATGCGTAGGCCCGCGCCGGCGCCCAAGAAGCCACACCAGCGCGCGCGCACGTCGAGCATCGATGTGCCCAAATGGGCCGGCGGCGGCGAAAACGAGCCCAAGCGCAAGGAAAGCAGCAAGCAGCGCCGGAAGCGCAAGCTCAGCGAAGATGCGCTCGCCGAAGAAAAGGTAGCGCAGGCCGACCGCCTCGCCGCGTCGCGCCTCCTCGTGCCGTCGACCAAGTCCAAGAAGACCAAGCCGGCCAAGCGCGCAGGTTGGACCATCCCTCGCACTGCTCGTCGTCTCACGTACACGATCGTGTCTAGCGCCATCTTCGTCGTCCAGCGAGAGCAGCTCTGCCGAAGACGAGCAAGATGAGGATGATGACGCCAGCGACGACGACGACGACAACGAAAACGTCAATGTCTTTGGCAACACGGTGACCGTCGACGAGAGCGCCGCACCGCACTCCAACCACGCGTAAGTGCTTGGACTATACCAGAGAGAGGATGATGCTCAAGCGTCGTTTTGTAGCGATGACATCAAGCAGCTGCGGAAGCGGCTCAACATTTCGACGTGGGGCACGATGGTGCCCGACCCGATCGTCGAATTTGCCGACATGGCGAGCACCGGCAGTCTTCGGTCGACACTCCTCGCCAACGTGGAGGCCTCGCAGTACAAGAACCCGACGCCGATCCAAATGCAAGCGATTCCAGCAGTCTTGAAGCGCCGCGATGTGCTCGGCATTGCGCCGACCGGGTCGGGTAAGACGGCTGCGTTTGCGATTCCGATGCTCTTGAACTTGGAGCGCCCGCGTCAGGACGTACGTCTCTTTTGTCGTCTTTGTCCATCAATGTTGAATTTTGCTTTTGTAGCAAGGCATTCGGTCGGTCGTACTCGTTCCGACGCGCGAACTCGCGGTGCAGATCCACGCTGAGTTTCAGCGCCTCAGTGCCGGGCGCAAATTTCACATCTCGCTCCTCTCCAAGGCCAGCGCGTCGACCATGGCGTCCCATGCCAAGTACGTCTTGTATTCGATTGCCTTTTTGGATTTTTGGATTTTTGATTTTGGGTGGTCCGAATTTTTGGATTTTTGGATTTTTGATCTTTTGATATTTTGATATTGAATCCTATTCTTTTATGGAAATAGAAACTGCACGGTCAACTACGACGTGGTGATTGCGACGCCGCTGCGCCTCGTGCATCTCATTACCGAGAGCGCGCTGGCCCTCGACAAGTACGACACATTCGATTGTATTTGGAGGCTGAAATTGGGGATAGGGTTGACATGATTTGCTTGGACGAAGCCGACCGGCTTTTCGAGATGGGTTTTGTCGAGCAAATCGACGAGGTGTTTGCGGCGTGCACCAACCCGTCGCTCCAGCGCATGATGTTTTCGGCCACCATGCTCGAGGTATACCTTTGTTTTTCATTTTGTAGCTATTTTTCCATTTTTCTAATTTTTGTGAAATTAGGGTGTTGAAGAAATGGCCCAGAGCGTGCTCAAGGACCCGATCAAGGTCGCGATCGGTGTCAAGAACGCCGGCGCCAACACGATCAACCAGCGCCTCTTGTTTGTCGGCAAGGAAGAAGGCAAGCTCGTGGCCATGAAGCAGCTCATCCAAGAGGTATGGTTGACCTTGAAACGTCAAATTTTGACTTGTGGATTCATGAAATGTACGAATAGGGCTTGAAGCTCCCGGTGCTCATGTTTGTTCAAAACAAGGATCGAGCCAAGGAACTCTTCCATGAGCTGGTCTACGACGGTATCAACGTTGGCGCGATCCACGCCGACCGTACGAAAGAACAGGTTTGGTGTTTTAGTAAAAAGGCTATCGAGACTCAGACTTGTCTAGCGCGACAAGGTCATCAAGGACTTTCGGACGGGCTCGGTGTGGGTCCTCATCTGCACGGATCTCATGAGCCGCGGTATCGACTTCAAGGGCGTCAACATGGTTATCAACTATGATTTCCCTCAGGTACGTAATCATTCTAGACATGTCTCATAACAAAATGTACTAGAGTGCCGTGAGCTACATCCATCGCATCGGTCGTACGGGCCGCAATGGCCGCAAGGGCGAAGCCGTCACGTTTTTCACGGAAAGTGACATGGTACTATTTTTGACATTGAGATTCGGTCGCATGTGGAGTTTTGAGATTCATTTGTGTAGATGTACTTGCGCACGATTGCCAACGTCATGAAGCTCTCCGGCTGCGACGTGCCCGACTGGATGCTTGCGATGAAGAAGGCGAGCGTCCGCCAGCGCAAGCAGCTGCTCAAGGCGCCGCCGACGCGTCACCGCATCGAAACGGTCTCTGGCTACGATCTCAAAAAGGCGCACAAGCACAAGTACAATATTGTCTATCGCTTGTAGGACAGGTTGAACCAATATGACTAGGCTCATGAAGCAGCACACAGCCAAGAAAAAGAACACGGCGGACAACGACGCGAATGACGCATAGACCGTCATGGTTTCTTGACTCTAAGCTTCTATACACGATGCCACGCTGCATGTATCAACTTTGTTCAAGAGGTTCTTGATGCGAATCGAGCGAAAGGCCGGCAGCGCAATTCATGTGGAGGGCTCATCAATGTCTTTCACGCCCACGTGTGGCCACTGCTCAGGGCCCATAGCATTGGGTCACTGTAGAAGCGTCTCGTGCGCAGTGAATGGGACATCAAGCGCATGACGTGGCAGCGCCTGGAGCAGCGAGAGAATGTCGTTGATCGACGCACTGGACGGTGTGCGTCACGCCGGCGCGCCGTCGTCGTGATCCAACAGTCGTACATGTAGCTGCAGCGTCCACGCAAGCTGGGCAACCTCTTGACGTACATGACGCTGGGTTCCCATGAGCTCGATCGTGACGCCAGAGCACGTAACAAGCGCTTCCAACAGCACACTGTAGATGCTCAACGTCTTGTCCCAGAGATGAAAGACGAACGGGTCGACCGGTGCGTGTGATCGCCATCGCAATCGCGACCACACTCGCGGCTTGCACGCTACAGTAGGGCAATGCAACGTCACGGACACTTGACGTGATACAGTGACGCAGGTAGCGACCCAACTGCAGCGGCTTGGTTCGCACCGTCAGCGCGACGTTCTCGAGGCAGGGCGACTGCATCGCCCAATCGAGAAGACCAAGTCACGTCTCGTCGGCAGCGAATCCACAGTCGAGGAGGTGCAGCACAAGTGGATCGCGTCCGTGATAGCGCGCGACGTAGCCCGGCGGTCCGTCCAAACCAACCACGCCGCAGTATGGCTCTACGGGAATCGTGGGAAGTTGTCTAGGGGTGAAAGGTCTTATTGAATACTAGTATTAAACAAGCAATAAGACCTTAGTGTGGAAATTTTCCACACGATTTGACGTTGACAACTCGTCTTTGATTGGGAGCGTCGCCACGGTCCGTCTGAGTGCAAATTTACCGACAGTTAATCGGACCAAACGTCCCTTTCAAATGCGTTTTTGAATTCGAACTTAATAACAGAAAAGCCTAAAAAATATTTCACAAATTGCTTGTAGCTATGTGGCGCCAGACCAATGACCAACATTCCGGTGGCGCCGGATACCGCACGAAGACATGGGTGTACTGCTGGGTGTACTGAGGGAGGTACCGGTACCCTATGCGAGGGTGTTGCTTTTTACAATGCGGCCTTTTGTCGAGCTGCTTGATCTTCCACGCAACTCCTTACCGGTAATGTACTCCCGCTCTTGTAAACCGCTGCGATAAATCGTAATACCGCGGGCTTTATCGTACGCTTTCGCGGGCGTGAGCGAGGCTCGTGCCGCTAGCCCGGCTGAGATGCGACCTCTGGCTTCCTAGTTTCGTGTGATACTCTGCCAGTCGGACCAGACCGCGTCTCGATACCCAGAATTTGCATTCCGTCGAGGTTTTTGGACGCGATTCATGATTTCAGAGCACCCTGCAGTCAATAATTGGAGCCATACGAGCGAGCTAAGGTTACTAAGCGACCGAGCGGGGTACTAGTACAGTACATGCATCTTTATGCAACTCGTCGATCTACTAGTACTATTGAATGGATAGTATTGGGTATCGCACGTGTCGGAAGACTGGTCACGCCTCAGCAGTGCATTGCGTTAACTGCAGTGCAGGCGCGGCCTCGAGAAACACCAGGATCGTATGCGCCGAGCGCCGCTCTGGCCGATGGCTGGGGGCAGCAACAACGTCCCTTTTTACGCGTGGCCAAAAGACCGCGCAAACGCATATGCTTCACGGCACGACAGCTCAAGAAACAACACCCTTTGATCCTTCCCAACAAAGCGTCGAACGACAGTGTCTTTGAGTACCTCAAGCCCACTCGACGTCTTCGGCCGTGGGGGACGCCTGTTCAGTACATCGTTTGGTTTCGTGCGATGCTGAACATGCTCCCTACAGGCTCCAAGAGTCGAATTAGGGAAGTAAGATAAGATCGTAGTACCATCGTACAGAGACCACACCAGGAGCCCGGTCCCACTTGGTCAACGACATGACATTTGGAATGAAATCGCCCAAAGTTGACACAGCGAATCAACACTTTGGACAGTCGAGCGGACCGCGATTCGTCATCTCTAGGCTGCAAACGTGGCCCGCACAATGCGACCGAGGACCACCGTGTCGAGCTCTCCGAAATAGAGGTGCACAAGCAGATCCATGTAGTTCCATGTACTAGTAGTCGATTCTCCAACACTACACATCACACTGGAATGCAATCCGTCCAACCGCTTGCGCCGACGCAGTGCTCAAGGCGGCATGAACGTTATATTGGACGACATTTCAAAAAGGTTGGCCTTTTGGTACAATGTCGATAGACGTATCTCAAATGATTATAAATCTGCTATAAAACGCTGTGCATGTGTCGTCGAGGTGGGCGTGCGATGCGAGCGTGGCTTCGCCTACGTGGTATTGGACGTCAAGCCAAGCAGCCTTTGATGATTAATCTTTATTGCCTCAGAAAACCCCCCGGAAGAACTAGTCGACGCGGCATGAGTGTGTCGCCGTGGATGTGAAAATTGGACAGAATACATGGGGCCATGAAACCAAAATGCACTCGTCCAATGCAGCGCTGCCTGCAACTCGACTTTAACTGCTGTGACGCTGTGGGACGTAGAAGCGCAAGTACGTTTGCTGCCGAGAGACTGAACGCGTCCTTAGTACACTGCCGCTATTCAAAACAAGTTTGCTGTATTGATGTGCTAGCACACACGGCCTTTTGGCTAAGACGCAAGGGCATTTGCATGGGTCAACCTCGACGCGGACGGAGTGCTCCTCGGGATCCTCGGCTGGCCTTTCTTTTGCGTCCGGATGCGGGTGCCGTGCGCACATTTGATTGGTCATGAAGGGGCTCATTCGGAATGGTGCCCTTCGATTGCCATCGCCAAGTATGTACTGCTTTTGTGGAAAAGGCCAAGCCAGGACTTTGTGTGGGAAACTCGTTTTTCACATTACCCACACGGTGAGTCACACCTAGAATTATATCTTATTGTTTGTATGTGAGGCGAAGTAACACGGCGTGGATTGCATTGCAGAAAAAATGGTACGGACCACCCTCCCACCCTCCCACCCTCCCACTTTACTGCCAATTTTGCGTACTAGGACGGGTCGCATCTAATATAGACACTTGAAAATAACTCAAATCGTACTTAATATTCCGACACGCTGCCCCCTACAGCACGGGATCTGCACCATCCGTCTCGAAAAAAGCACGCAGTGCTTTTTTCGTAGGGATGGTGAAATTAGGTTTCACATGACAACCATACCTTCTCGGCCTTTTGGCTAAGATCAAGTGTAGTATCTGTTCTAATCAGTGTGAAAACTGATTTCCACACTTCGGTGTGGTTTTTTTTCACATTCATTTTTACAAACTCCGATAGTCCAGTTGGCTTGCCACTGACTATTGGACTGGTTTCCGAGGGCCCAGCACTCCTCCCTTGTGAAGCCTAACTGCTACACTCAACCTCCATTTTACACTCACATCTGCTCATTCTTTCCATATTTGTATGCTATCTACACCTCTCCAGCGCGAAGCGCTGCTGACGAGCGAAGCGAGTCACAATCAACTTTGCCCGCAGGGCCCGAGGCGCAGCCGAGGTTTAGTTCGTATGCCAATAACATGCCCTACTATGACGTACTACTGTACTTGTACCACCAAGGATTTTCCTCGCCTTGGTAGTACCTTGTCGTTCTTGCTCCAGATGTCGTTGGCTTGGAACGTCAGCATTAAGCGCATACCTAAGCATTGTGCAGTATTGGCAATACGTCTGCACACCTCGGTAGTAGTGAGGTGTGCTGACGTCTGTTAATGCAACGGCAGCGTGACCTAGCTTATCTCTGTCGAGCGCACGCGAACGCACTCTTACTGACGATCTGGGCCGTGGAAAATCAGTCCAAAATTTGGTGGCAAGTCTGCTGGACGAGTATAGTACGAACGCTCGAGACCTTCAAAGACATGCAACAATGGCACCGGTGTGGGCCATGACGAGCAGCGTCAACTGTATGCCAACAGACGACGGCGGGATCCAGATGCAGCCGTTGAGTCGGCCAACACCGGAAGGGTCCGAGCAGTCGAGACGAGCCTTGATGTCGTCGTACTCAGCGCCAGCGTCGCGCTGCACTTGAGCAATAACCGCCACGGTCGGCCACTGGAAATTGAGACGGAGAGGCGACATGCGCCGGGACAACCACGAGTCGGCGCACACGCAGGGCGCGCGTAGTCGGGCTGTCCGTCTCGGGCGTCGTGGCATTGGCGACAGCACCATCCTCCGTTTTCGTCCCCCAGCATGTGGAAAATCATGTACCGGAAGCACGTGAGCGTGACGGCCCAGCGTGCGAGCTGGTCGCGGCTGCGCGCGACGCGTCGACACCAAAGATGAACTCCAAATTGCGGTGGTCCGTGAGGATGACAAACCCGAGATCGCGATGGAGGAGGTAGTCGAGCCGCTTGATTGCAAATATGGTCGCATATGCTTCCTTCTCCGGGACGCTCCCGCGTAGCTGCGTCTCGTTGAATGCACCAAGTGTAAAAACGCTGCTCCAAAGAGTGGAAATAGGTTCTTACACATGCATTTCACTCTTTTTTTGTAAAATCTACACTCGACCATTCGCTTGCTGCACAATCAATTTTTGTCCAATCAAATCGCTTCATTTTCGAAACGCGGAGTATGAGCAAGCGACCTTGCGTGGCGCCGAGGGCAGTCCTGCACGCTGGCGTTCTCGCTTCCATCGGGCAGTGCTTGGCCTCGACCAACGACGTCCGCATGCTGTTGCTGGCGCTGCCATTGGATGCTCTCGACGAGCCGCTGACTGCGCTTCGCTCACTCGTGTCGACACCGAGGGCCTTGCATCCAGAGCACTGGCCGCAGGTCTGCATCGAAGACATGGACGATCGCTACACGGCAACTGTTCTCGCCGCGCTGCCGGTCTTTAGTTCGGTTCGCGTTCATTGTCTCTCGGGGCTCGACGAGATGCTGCGCGCCATGAGCTAGAAACCCGGCGCGATTGGCGACGCAACCATGGCATTTGTCGCCAAGTGGGGTCACAAGGTCAAGTGCATCCGGTTGACGACGTGGCAAGAGCACTACATACATGTCCTTGCTCCACTCCTCCGTCTCTGCACCGGTCTCGATGAGATCATCGTGCACGCGGCCGAGGCAGATCCGCGCTTCCTTAACGCCGTCGCTGTTGCCACACTGTGCATCACGCGCATGTATCTGGCTGGTCTCAGTGACAATGCGTTTGCAAGCAAAAGCTGGTTGACAGCCATGACAACGTGGCTGGCCTCGGGCCGTGCGAGGGAGCTCAAGCTCGTGAATATTGTATCGACCGACGACAAAATTTTGGCGCGGGCGATCGCCGCCGCTGCATCGCTCACGAGCCTCGAGCTCCGCGATACCTACGGCCTTGTCCAAGGTCTACTGGAGGCTGCGATGCCACTGCCCCACCTGACTGCGCTGCGGCTTCAAACGCAGCTCGACACGACCAACTTGGAGCTGCTGTTGACGAATGCTATTAAGCTCTCGGCGCTCCGTGTGCTTGAGCTCGGTGACTGTAGTAGCACGGACGATCAGTTCTTTCTGATGCTTTTGCCGCGACTTGTGGCGCTCGAAGAGCTCTCACTTGCGCGCTGCCGTATGCGAAGTGTCCACCCCTTGACGTTGGCGCCGGCGCCGCGTCGACTCCAAACGTTGACATTGTACAGGTGTTTCATGGACGACATCTCGTGCCTGAGTCTTCTCGATTGGGCCTTGCAGTCACCATATCTCAAGTCCATTTCGCTCGACTCGGTCGCAACGGTGAAGTCGAAGCCCGTGCACGTGGGTCGCTTGGTGCGTCGATGGATCACCGCCGGCATCGAGCGCGTCACGATTCCGAGCGGTTCCATGGGCGCCGAGAGTGTGATCGCGGTCGCCATGGCGCTCTGTGACACACCGGTCCTCACGTTTCGTGTTGTACATTGGCAACGATGCGATGACCATGGCGTCCTATGTCGCGCTGTTGGACGCGCTGGCCACGTGCTCGGGCGTCACGCTCGAGGTGTTTGAACGCCGTCCGGTCATGCGCCAAGAGATTGCACAGCGAGCGACGACGCTGGGTCTACAATGCATCGATGACGGCAGCATGCCGA